TCCTCAGATCTCAGCCTCCTGAGTAGCTAGGATTACAGGCGTGAGCCACCGGCGCCTGGCTCCTTGTGTCTCTTAATGTGTTATATATTGTATTGTCTTTATCTACCTTCCATTAAATATTTGTGAGTACAGTAGTAGCAAGGATTTGTCAAATGTAGTCAGTCAATATTTGGCAAGCCCCAGTATCTTTTTTCCAAATATAGTACTCAGTAGCTGTTTTTTTTCATAGACTTAATATCCAAGCACAGTTGTCTGGTATCCTGCTCTGTGGTGATTTGGATTAATTATGTTGTCTTACCCTAAAGTTTCCTTGTTCTCATTGAAAATCAGATTTGTTTTTTCTTTTTAGCACTATCACTCCTGTAGTGGGTAAGAAGAGAAAGCGTAATACTTCATCTGATAATTCAGATGTGGAAGTCATGCCTGCACAGTCACCCCGGGAGGATGAAGAAAGCAGCATTCAGGTAAAGGAATCCCTACCTAAAGAACTTAGTAAAGGGGACTGGGAAGGTGGCTCAGTGGTAGAGCGCTTGCCTTGCATGCCTGAGGCCCTGGGTTTGATTCCTCAGCCACACATAAGCAAAAAGAGAAAAGCCAGAAGTGGTGCTGTGGCTCAAGTGGTAGAGCGCTAGCCTTGAGCTGAAGAGCTGAGGGACAGCCCAGGCCCACAGTTCAGGCCCCGCGACCAGACCCCCCCCAAAAAAGAAAAAGAACTTAGTAAAGTTTTAAACATTCCTAATCTGAAATCCAAAATGCTTCAAGATCCAAAACTTTGACAGTTACCATGATGCCTCAAGTGGAGAAAGCTTACACACTCTAACCCTAAAAAACCAGCTCAGGCTATGCATATAAGTTATATATGACACTTAAGTTACATCTAATTGTAGCTAACAAACCAGAACCTGAAGTAGGCCTTAAAGGTCTATGCCTTCCAACTATTGGGTTGGTTTTGTTTTATTTTCCCTGGTCCTGGGGCTTGAACTCTGGGCCTGAGCACTATTCCTGGGCTTCTTTTATTCAAGGTGGGCCCTCTACCACTTGAGCTATAGCACCACTTCTGTTTTTTTTTTTTTTTTTTTTGAGTAGTTTATGGGAGATGAGTCTCGTAGAGCTTCCTGCCTGGGCTGGGTTTGCACTATAATCCTTAGATCTCCACCTCCTGTGTAGCTAGGATTACAGGCATGAGCAACTAGCACCTTGCTAAATTTTGTTGTTTTTTTTTAAAGACAAAAAGCATAATATGGGCTGGGAATGTGGCTTACTGGTAGAGTGCTTGCCTAGAATATGAATGAAGCCCTGGGTTTGATTCCTCAGGACCACATAAACAGAAAAAAACCAGAAGTGGCACTGTGGCTCAAGTGGTAGAGTGCTAGCCTTGAGCAAAAGAAGCTTAGGGACAGCACCTGGACTCTTAGTTAAAGTCCCAGGACTGGAACAAACAAACAAAAAATAATTTAAAAAGTAAAGAAAAACAAAACAAAACTTTATCACCAGATTCCAGTGGCTGATTCCAGGAATCCTACCTATTCAAGAGGCTGGGATTTGATGATAACAGTTCAAAGCCAGCCTGAGCAGGAAAGCCCCAGGACTGGTGTACAAACATACACACACACACACACACACACTCATAAAAATATAAATTATTTCCTCATATTTTAGTTTTTCAAAAAATAAGGAAATATTATGAAATCATGGTGTAATTCAAATGATTTGCTGTAATGGCTATGTCAATACTTGGCATTCTCTTAGACCTGTGAACCTATCCCTTTTGCCTTACTTTTTCTGCTTGAGAGTAGAATTTATACTTGAGAATTCTGACTGCACCTTGAGTGCTTAGTCTCAAAACTTTTCTGTTTTGAAGATGAGAGGCATTGGTAAAACCAAAAGAAGTACAATATCAAGGCTTTGGCAGTTTACTGTTTGCCCTAACTTTGCTTGTAATGGATTGTTTTATGCATACAACCTTAAATTTTCTAATACTCTTCAGTTAGTTAATTTATTAGAAAGATTTTTTCCCTACTCTAGAATTACTTTACAAATATTTCTGTTTTTCTTTAGAAATTTAATGTCCTGCTTTTATATTTCTTTATTTATTTGTTCTACTGTTTTTTGAATTCAGGACTTCATGCATGCTAGGTCAGCTCTCAATCACTTGAGCTCTGCCTTCAGCCCTATACTTACATACTTGATACTTTTAGAATTTTTTTTTGATCGGTTGTGTACCTTGACCTCTGGGCTTGGGCGCTGTCCCTGAGCTCTTCAGCTCAAGGCAATTATTCCACCTCTTGAGCCACAGCACCCACTTCCAACCTTTTCTGTGTATTTGGTGCTAAATAATCAAACCAAGGTCCTCATGCATGCGAGGCAAGCACTCTACCACTGAGCCACATTCCCAGCCCACTTGTAGAATTTTTAAATTTAGTCCTCTATGTGACTAGTCAGTATTTCCCAATTCTAATTACAGAGTAACGTGCCATTTCTTCATTGATTAGAAGTACCATTTTTATTATGTTCTAAATCTATATAATATTTTAGTCAACATCTGAGCACTATTTCTTTGACTTTTTTTTTTTTTTTTTTTGGTTGGTCGTGAGGCTTGAACTCTGGGCCTGGGTGCTGTCCCTCTTCAGCTCAAGGCTAGTGCTCTACCACTTGAGCCACAGTGCCACTTCTGGTTTTTCTGGTGGTTTATTGGAGATAAGAGTCTCACGACCTTTCCTACCTGGGGTGGCTTTGAACCTCGATCCTCAGATCTCAGCCTCCTGAGTAGGATTACAGGTGTGAGCCCCCAGTGCCTGGCTTTTGAGGAATTAACAGCTAAGTGTTATTTTGAATACACCTTTACTATATATAATAAAAATATATACTTATTATGACATACCATTTCTATTTTTCCTGACTATTCTTAGTTTTTTTTTATTTTTTATATTTTTGTGAATGTATTTTATTTTTTGGCAGTTGTGGGCTTGAACTGAGGGCCTAGGTACTGTTCCTGAGCTCTTTTGCTTAAGGCTAGAGCTCTACCCACAGCTCTACTTCTGGTTTTTGAGTGGTTAATTGGAGATAAGAGTCTCATGGGGACTTTTCTGCCCAGGCTGGCTTTGAACCGTGATCCTCAGATCTCAGCCTCCTGAGTATTGAGGATTACAGGTGTGAACCACCAGCCATAAATGTATTTTAGAACCAACTCATTTCAGTTAAAATGTTCTTAACCTTTCTGTTCTGAAATTTCTTCTTTCTTTTCCCCTTTTTTCCTCTTTTATATCCAAATTCTTTTTTGTGTATATGCCGATGTTAGGGCTTGAACTCACTCAGCCTGGATGCTGTCCCTGAGCTTTTTTTTCTTTTTGTCAGTCATGGGGCTTTAACTCTGCACCTGAGCGCAGTCCCTGAGCTCTTTAGCTTAAGGCAAGTATACTACCACTTGAGCCACAGTGCCACTTCCAGTTTTCTGGTGGTTAATTGAAGAGAAGATTCTCACCGGCTTTTCTGCCCAGGCTGGCTTTGATCTGCGATCCTCAGATCTCAGCCTCCTAAGTAGCTATGATTACAGCTTGAATTATGCTGGTGCCCAGCTCTGAGCTTTTTTGCTCAAGACTAGCACTCTACTAGCTATGACTTGAGTCACAGCTCCAAATACAAATTTTTGGTGTTTACAGATGGAAATGTCATGAATTTTTCTTTCCAGGCTGATAGTGAACCACAATCCTCAGATTTTACCTCCCTGAGTAGCTAGGATTAAAGGTGTGAGCCACCAATGCCCATCTTTACTTTTGTAACCTATCAATTCTACAGCAACACAACATACCAATTTCTGAGTACAATGCATCTGGTTAGTCTCACCCTTTTTTTTATCATAAGAACAACTATTATTATTTTAATTTCAACTGTTTTTGTGTGTTTTTTCTCTTTCAAGAAGAGACGCTCAAACCGCCAAGTGAAGCGAAAAAAATATACAGAGGACCTGGATATAAAGATTACAGATGATGAAGAGGAAGAAGAGGTAGATGTAACTGGTCCAATAAAACCTGAGCCTATCCTTCCTGAACCAGTACAAGAACCAGATGGTGAGACTTTGCCTTCCATGCAGTTTTTTGTGGTAAGTTGAGAACATAAATAATTTAAGAGGTTGTCCTCCTTGTCAGTCATTTGTTAACTGACAGTATCTTTTTGCTATAGGAGAATCCCAGTGAAGAAGATGCGGCTATTGTGGACAAAGTGCTTTCTATGCGGGTTGTGAAGAAGGAGGTAAGGCCTTTATAGTGTATTCACAGGTTTTATTAAGTTTTTAAAAAAATGTAACTGTGGGACTTGGAATGTGGCTTAGTGGTAGAGTGCTTGCCCAGCATGCATGAACCCCTGGGTTCCGATTTCCTCAGTACCATATAAACAGAAAAAGCCATAAGTGGCATTGTGTCTTAAGTAGTAGAATGCTAGCCTTGAGCAAAGGCAGCTCAGGGGCAGTGCTCAGGCCCTGAGTTCAAGTCCCAGGACGGGCAAAAACAAACAAAAAATGGTGTTATAGAATGTTACTGAGCTACCCCCAGGTTTTCCTTTTTTTCTTGTCTTGTCAGTCATGGGGCTTGAACTCTTGGCCTAGGCGCTGTCCCTCAGCTCTTCAGCTCAAGGCTAGCACTCTACCACTTGAGCCACAGCACCACTTTTGGTTTTCTGGTGGTTTATTGGAGATAAGAGTCTCACAGACTTTCATCAATCCTCAGATCTCAGCCTCCTGAGTAGCTCGGACTACAGGCGTGAGCCACTGGCACCTGGTTGAGGTTTTACTTATTTAAAAGTTTTTTTTTTTTCCTCTTCGTGGGGCCTGAACTCTGGGCCTAGATGCTGTCCCCCAGCTTTTCAGCTCAAGGCTAGCACCCTACCACTTGAGTCATAGCACCACTTCCAGCTTTTTCTGCTTATGTGGTGCTAAGGAATTGAACCTAGGGCCTCATGCATGCAAGGCAAGCACTCTACCACTAAGCTACCTTCCCAGCCCTAAAACATTTTTTTTTAACTGTGCTCAGGATTGAATCCAGAGTACTCTATTACTGAACTATAACCTCTCTCACTAAACAGTGTGAGCGCCTCTGAATGACAGGATATATTGCTAATGTATAAAAAATTTTAACTAGTAAATAGCAACTGTCTTATTGCCACTAATCTTAGTTTAGGATGCATGAAATTTTTTTTCTCAGCTATCAGATCTCTAGTATGGAAGAACTAGATTAATTGCTTAATCCTGAGTCAGTAATATATGCAAGGAACATTAAAGTTTTAGCATGAGTGGTTTTTCTTTGACAAGTAAGATTAGTGACTGTAATTTCTGTCTTTTTTCTCAGCTTCCTTCTGGACAGTATACCGAAGCAGAAGAATTCTTTGTCAAGTATAAGAACTAGTACGTTATCTACGCAAAAGTTCTTTGCCCCAAACTCCACAGGGTTGTAGGAGTCTCCTTATGTAAAATAGCATGGGTGTGAACATAGTCCTTTTTCATTGTTTATCTTAGCCCAAATTTCTATTTTTAATGCAGAAATGTATCTGTTTAGGAAGAAACTTAGGAATTGAAATGACTATTCCTATTTCTTTGCAGGAAAGTATGGTGAGAGTGATTTCTAATCAAACCCTATATTCCTTTTCCATGGTCTTGCTACTCTTTAAGTATGGTCCATAAACAGAGTTAATATTACTTAGGTGCTACTTGGAAATATGGATGTTCCTACATACTCCAGACCAGGTGGTTGGTCTGCAGATTAGAAGTTGAAAAACACTGATATAAGCCAACTCCCAGTTTACACATATATTTGTCTTACCTGCTGCTGGCTATTCCAAAAATCTCAAATGCTTTGAACCATAATTATTTCCATCTCCTGCAGTTCCTATCTGCACTGTGAATGGGCTACTATCTCTCAACTAGAGAAGGATAAAAGAATCCATCAAAAACTAAAGCGCTTCAAAACCAAAATGGCTCAGATGAGACACTTCTTCCATGAGGTATTAGGAATTACTATTGCTTGTCACTCTGTGTGTGTGTGTATGTGTATGCTCATATGTGTGTGTACATGTGTGTGCTGGTCCTGGGGCTTAAACTGAGGGCCTGGGCACTGTCTCTGAGCTTTTATGCTTGAGCATAGTGCTCTGTCACTTGAGCCACCGCTCTACTTCTGGCTTTTTGATGGTTAATTAGAGTTACGAGTCTCACAACTTTCCTGACCAGGTTGGCTTTGAACCACAATCCTTATATCCCTGCCTTCTGAGTAGCTGGGATTACTGGCATGAGTCACTGGTGCTTGGTTGATCACTTTTTTTAATTTTTTTTTTGGTCATTGTGGGTCCTGAACTCTGGGCCTGAGCATTGTCCCTCAGCTCTTCAGATCAAGGCTAGCGCTCTACCACCTAGAGTCACAGTGCCACTTCTGGCTTTTTCTGCTTATGTGGTGCTGAGGAATCGAACCCAGGGCCTCATGCTTGCAAGGCCAGCACTCTACCACTGAGCCACCTTCCCAGCCCCGGTTGATCACTTTTTTAAAGAAGCATAAATTACTGGGGTTTTCAGCTTTGGCTGACCCTTCAAGAGACTTACAGTTAATTTGTATATTTGCATATAAGGTTTAATCTTTTTTTTCTATTGCCAGTCTTGGGGCTTTCTTCAGGGCTTGGACTCTGTCCCTGAGCCTCTCAGTGCTTAAGGCATTCTACCATTTGAGCCACAGCTTTTTCTGAGTAGTTTATTGGTGATAAGAGTCTCAGGGACTTTCCTGCCCGCACCTGGCTTGGAACTGTGATCCTCAGATCTCAGCCTCCTGAGTAGCTAGGATTATATGCATAAGCCACTGACACCTGGCAAAGTTTAATTTTAATCATTACTTTCCTAACTCAATTGCCCATGATTTTATTTTTCTAGATTTAAATATGATCTATTTATTAGTTACCAGATACAGTATTGTGAGATTGATTTATCTAATATGCATATATTATCAAAAAGGATGATACAGTGATCTTTGATCCATTTGAGGCAATCTTCCCCCTCCAAAATCATTTTTTTTTGTTTTTTTTGAGTCCGGTCGTGGGGCCTGAACTGTCCCTCAGCTCTTCAGCTCAAGGCTAGCACTCTACCACTTGAGCCACAGCGCCACTTCCGGCTTTTTTCTTTTTGCTTATGTGGTGCTGGGGAGCCGAACCCAGGGCCTCAGGCATGCAAGGCAAGTGCTCTACCACTAAGCCACCTTCCCAGCCCCTCCAAAATCATTCTTTAGACATTAATGGTCTCTTTAGACATAAGTAGCTCACTCCTTAAGAGAAAACATTTTCTTTTCTCAAATTTCTAATCTGATATAGAAATAATTTACCAGAATTTTTAAGTTTGCTATATATAGGGTTACTACTAATAAAACTGGAGCAAGATAAGTAAGGAATCTATTATATTTGACAATGTGGAAGTTATTCATGACTGACTTTTCTGGTAATGGGGGTTTGAACTCAGGGCCTTAAGTTCTTGCTTTAGCTTTTACACTCAAGGCTGGGGTTCTCCCATTGAATCATACTTCCATTTAGGCTTTTTGCTTGTAAATTGGAAATAAGAATTGGCTTTGTCTGCCTGGGCTGGCTTCAAACTATAATCGCCAGATCTCAGCCTCCTGAGTTGCTGAATTGCCACTGAAATGAAGTGAAATGGATAGACAATAAAGATGAAGAAATAGAGATAGCATATAGATAAAACTTGTGACAGGAGTTTGGATATAAAGCAGAGCAGGAAAATAGTTGCAGAGGGATGCAAAATCAAGTATAATTTTAATTAAAATGTGAAGTGATAGAACATGTTTCTATCTTTATATAGAAATGGTTTGGTAAAGAGGTAAGCCTAAAAAGGCAATGGAGAGACAAGCCTATGTTAGGGAGAACAAACCTATGTTAGGAGATACTTTCTCTAACTTTCTAAGTAAATACCTATGTAAGTTTGTAGAATTTAATATTTTGTAAAGTAGGTCAGGTTTACCGGGTAATTTTTTTCCTTTATCATTTGGTTTTATACCTCATCTAGGATGAAGAGCCCTTTAATCCAGACTATGTAGAGGTGGATAGGATATTGGATGAGTCTCACAGCATAGACAAGGATAATGGTGAGGTGAGTTGGGACATGGAAGGACATAAAAGGCTATGTATAGATTTCTACTGGTCTGCTTGCCAATCCATTATTTTTCATATGTGCCTGAAAACAGCTCTCTTAAACTAAAAAGGTTTTTCTGAAATTTTTTATGGGATCATTGAAAGGTAATGGGAAGACCAGGGTATACAGAAGCTAAAAATATGGATTCCTTCAAAGTTAAATATCTAGATCTGAAAAGTCATTTCCCTGCGTCTCATTTTCCTTCAGATTTTGAATGGAAGACCATACAGACTCAATTACAGTTAGGGTCTGGGGTAGGGGAAAGGGAACTTATGTTTCTCCAAATCATGTTGTTGAAAATTACATATTTTTATAACTAAACTTCAGTTAAATGCTTTACATCTATCAGTTTCTGAATGTAGTTGTTGTTAATTGGTTTTGGTGTATATGTGCCAATCTAGAACAGGGCCTTGTACTTTCAGGTCACTCATGGCTGGTGCTTGATCACTTGTGCCATAACTCAAATTTGTATTTTACAACACATTTTAGGATTCCACACCCACTATTAAGTCTAGAATGGGACTCCAATGTCTTAATTTTTAAATTGGCTTTTTGAGTGATTTTCACGTATAGCTTGACTGGGAATTGCTATATTAGTATTTTGGGGTTTTTTTGTATTGGAAAACTATCAAGTGCTCAAACACTTGATGTTTTCACAAAAGGTTTTAGTTTCTAAGTAAGAGTCATACAGACCTAAATCACCAATGAATTCAACATTATTTCTTTCAAATTTACTTCAAATTACATTTAGATTTTATTTATTTTTGTATGTATATATGTATGTATATTTTGTGCCAGTACTGGGATTGGTTGGACCTTAGTGCCTCATGCTTTCACTCTGCTTTTTCACTCAGAGCTACCTCTTGAGCCATGCTTACAGTTCCTTCAGTCATATTACTTTTATTATCAAGTAGTTGTACAAAGGAGTTACCATTAAGCATGTCAGTTTATAACTGCAGTCATATTTTATTTACAAAATTTTTATTACTTGTAATAGTGACCAGTAGAAAAAAGAAAACCTTGTTAAGATACTAGTACTGATGCATGTGCTTTCACATTTTTCCATCATTTCTTAGCTTTTTAGTCTGTAACATGAAATGCTAATGTTGAAATGCTTTTTTCACTTTTTACCTTGTATATATGTATATATATGTAGTGTATTATATATTACTCTATCTATATCTTGTGAATCAATGTACTGTGTCTATTAAAAAATAAAAGATACTAGTTCTTTGTAAGCTGAACTTACTCATGAACCATACATGATGTTAACCAGATTTATGAGTCAGATTCTTTTTTTTTTTTTTTTTTGGGTCCGGTCGTGGGGCCTGAACTCTGGGTCTGGACGCTATCCCTCAGCTCTTCAGCTCAAGGCTAGCACTCTACCACTTGAGCCACAGTGCCACTTCCGGCTTTTATGTGGTGCTGAGGAATCGAACCCAGGGCCTCATGCATGCAAGGCAAGCGCTCTACCACTGAGCCACCTTCCCAGCCCATGAGTCAGATTCTTGCCACTATAAAATCTTGTGCCGAAAGAAAATGATCTGAGAGTGAACTCTCCTTTCACTTTCAACATAGTGCAAGAAAAGAGTGGTCCTCTTCTTGTTTTTATTTTGTTTGGTTTTAGTTTAGTACTACTGTTTTAGTACTACTGTTATAGAAAATAATTGGGTAGAAATTTTACTTTTAGAAGAGATTCTGATAAATTGTCTGGAAGAATGGTAAGAGTAATAAGAATACATTAGTGAGTGAGCTTATAGTTGTATGTTCTGCCTGACTTTTTCCAGCATCTTTTAGGTGTCCTTCGTGATCTGATCTTACAGCCAAATTCTCATCCTTTTACCGCAGCAGAGAACAAAGAATGTACTTACTAAGTTTGTTTTTTTCTAGCCTGTAATTTACTACCTGGTGAAATGGTGCTCTCTGCCCTATGAGGATAGTACATGGGAGCTGAAGGAGGATGTTGATGAGGGAAAAATTCGAGAATTTAAACGCATCCAGTCCAGACACCCAGAACTCAAAAGGGTGGTAGGTACATTTGGGTTTAGAAGGTAAATGTATAGACATAAAATATTGTTTTGTCAATATAGGAATAAGGAATATAAGCAGTCATTTAACTTTTCCAATGACATGTTTCATTGTTTTGCTTTTTGTTATGGTAATGTTCAAATGTACAGAGATTAAAGAAATACCCTAATATGTCTGCTACCTAGCTAACAATTATCAATACTTGGCCAATCTTGTATTTGTCCACCCATTCATTTCCATCTTCCAAGTTATTTTAAGTCAAATTTTTATTGCATTTTATTTCAGTATTTATGTCTTAAAACAAAATTTTACTCATTTAATATTAGTCAAATACCAATGTACTGGTATTCATGCAAGTTTCCCAGGGTTTTTTTGTTTGTTTGTTGCTCGTGCTCTACCACCTGAGCCACAGTAACACTTCTGGTTTTTGAGTGGTTTATTGAAAATAAGAGTCTCACGGGTACTTTTCTGCTCAAGCTGGCTTCAAACCTTGATCCTCAGATCTCAGCCTCCTGAGTAATTAGGATTACAGGTGTGAGCCACTGGCACTCAGCCTGATTTTTTTTTTTTTTTTTTGGTCTGTCGGTTGTGGGGCCTGAACTCTGGGCTTGGACGCTGTCTCTGAGCTCTTCAGCTTAAGGCTAGCTCTCTGCCACTTGACTCACAATGCCACTTCCTGCTTTTTTTTCTGCTTATGTGGTGCTAAGGAATTGAACCCAGGGCCTCATGCATGCAAGGCAAGCACTCTATCACTGAGCCACCTTCCCAGCCCCTCAGCCTGATTTTTAAAATATAATTTTATTGTGCAGAGGGGTTACCATTTCTTAATTTAGGTAATGTATTTGCATTCTTCTTTTGGATGGTCACCCCCTTCTTTTTTTTTTTTTTTAATACTGAGCATTGAGTTAGGACCTCACACTTACTAGGCAAGTACTATGCCCCTAGTTCTTTCGCTTTCAATTTGTTTTTCAGGTAGGGTCTTATGCTTTTGCCTAGGCCAGCCTTGGACTAAGATCCTCCTACTTCTGTTTCCCCAAGTAAGTGAGATTACAGGATCTCAATAACTTCTGCCCAGGCTTGCCTTGAACTGTGATCCTTCTACCATCACCTCTTGAGTAGCTGGGATTACAGGTGTGTACTACCATGCCTGGCCTTCTAATTTTGTTAAATCATTTGAATTGGGTTTTAAATAAAATCCAAATGTAATCAGTTAATGGCTCCAGTCTTTTAATTACGTTTCTCCTTTGACCTTCTCCTCTCCCTTGTAATTTTCTCTTCAGAAAAACAGGTGACTTGACTTTATTTCTTTTGCCAATCTTGGGGCTTGAACTCAGGGTCTGGGCACTGTCCTTGAGCTCCTTTTGCTCAAGGCTAGAGCTCTACCACTTGAGCCACAGTGTCACTTCCAGGTGACTTGTTATATAGTATGTTTCCATAGTCTAAAGATTGCTGATTTTTATTTCCTTTGGTACTTTTGTTGTTGTTGGTGGTGGTTGTGGGGCTTGAACTCAGGACCTGAACACACTGTTCTGAGCTTTTTGCTCAAGGCTAGCATTCTACTACTTTGAACTACAGCATGTCTTCTGGTTTTCGGGTGGTTAATTGAAGATAAGAGTCTCATGGATTCACCAGCTTGGGCTAGCTTCGGACTGTGATCCTCAGATCTCAGTCTCCTGAGTAGCTTGGATTATAGGTGTAAGCCACGAGTGCCCCACTCCTTTGGTACTTTATAAACATATTTTTCTGATTATTTCACATAAATGCTTAGGTTTAGAGCTGTGTTGATTAAGGTGGACACTAGCCTCTGTGCGTGTGTGCATGTGTGCATGCGTGTGTTGGTACTTGGGCTTGAATTCAGGGCCTAGGCACATTCCCTTAACTTTTTTGCTCAAGGCTGGCACTCTGCTACTTGAACCAGAGCTCACTTCTAGCTTTGTTTGGACATAAGAATCTCATAGATTTTCCTGCCTAAGGCTGGCTTCAAAACATGATCCTCAGATATCAGCCTTTCCATTAGCTAGGATAGCAGGTCTGAGCTACCAGTGCCTGGTTTAGCCACATTTTTTAACATTGTAGGCATTACTGCTGTTGAAACTTGGTCAGATGGATGAGGGAGATCAGTAAGTCTACTTCATAGATGGATGATGTGTGCTTCCATCAGTCTGAATTTTATGATGTTCTCAGCTATGTATGGTCACTGCCTTGGTATTATATGCTGTAATTTCAGCTACTTGATCAGCTAAGGATAAATGGCCTGGGAAAAATAGTGAGATCCTGTTTTTTTAAAAAAAATCAGTGCCTAAATAAATTTTTTCAGGATTTTAAAGTAAATATCTTAATTTTATTATTTATTAGCTAGAGTCTTACATGAAAAGACATTTGCTCTATCTACAAATATTTTCTTCTTTCTGTTTATTTCCAAATTAATAAAGGTTCATAGCTAACATTCTCCAAATGTGACCAGTAGATTTTTCATTTTTGTTATCTTTTATCTTTTTTTTTCTCTTTAATTTCTTTTTGGTGATATTGGAGTTTGCTCAGGGCCTCCTGAGCAAACTCAGGTGCTTGGCTGGCATTCTGCTACTTGAGTCATGCTTCCAGCTCAGCTGTTTGCTAGTTATTAGTATTTTTTGTTGGTCATGGGGCCTTAACTCTAGGCCTGGGTACTTCCCTTAGCTCTTCAGCTCAAGGCTAGCACTCTACCACTTGAGCCACAGCACCATTTCTGGCTTTTTCTACTTACATGGTGCTGAGGAATTGAACTCAGGGCCCCATGCAAGCACTCTACCACTGAGCCACCTTCCCTATCCTGCTAGTTATTTTGAAGATTGACTCTCAAAGACTTTTCTCCCTTGGTTGTCTTTGAATCATGATCATTTAGATCTCAGCCTACTGAATAGCTAGGATTATTGGGAGGAGCCTTGCTATTAGACAGGTTTTCATGCAAGCCATTATGTTTTCTAGTTGATTTAAATGACTAGAATTACCCATTATATCTTGTCTTATATTAGTATCTATATCTTATTTAAATCTTTTATTTTTTAGAATCGTCCACAGGCAAATGCCTGGAAGAAGTTGGAGCTGTCACATGAATATAAAAACAGGAACCAGTTACGGGAATATCAATTGGAAGGGGTCAATTGGCTCCTCTTTAATTGGTATAACAGGTAAAGAAAAGAATGGCTTTAGTCTGAGGATTATTTTTATATATTTTCTATTGAGATAGTTTTCTTCCTAGGTATATGATTTTTTTAAGATGGTAATTTTTGACAAGATTTTTTTTTTCTCCTGGTAAATTTACAGGCAGAACTGCATTCTGGCTGATGAGATGGGATTGGGAAAAACTATTCAGTCCATTGCCTTCTTGCAGGAGGTATATAATGTGGGCATCCATGGCCCCTTCTTGGTCATTGCTCCACTATCCACAATTACCAACTGGGAACGAGAATTCAATACATGGACAGAGATGAACACTATTGTATACCATGGCAGCCTGGCTAGCCGGCAGATGATTCAGCAATATGAAATGTACTGCAAAGATTCAAGGGTGAGTTGTGTGTCTTGGGAATTCTATGGCTTACAGAAAGTAGGCCATGGTTAGGTGTCTGGTGGTTTAAGGGCAGTGTATAAATTAAAGAATCACTATATTATCCAGGCTGGCCTCAAACTCACTGATTGTCCAGCTTCCAGAGGGCTAGGATTATGACCATACTACACTAAGAGTTCAGGTGTGTACATTTAAGGCCTTTTTCTGACCTCATTGCTTTTATGCTTAGGGGCGCCTCATCCCAGGTGCTTACAAATTTGATGCCTTGATTACGACTTTTGAGATGATTTTGTCAGACTGTCCAGAACTTCGTGAAATTGAATGGCGTTGTGTCATCATTGATGAGGCCCATCGGTTAAAAAACCGTAATTGCAAGCTGCTTGATAGTCTAAAGCACATGGACCTGGTGAGTTCCCTGTACTGACCTATGGGCACAAATACCTGGAGTTCACACTTAGTTCTGTATAGAATAAAAGTTCCCCTAAGTTAGCAGAGAACACAGAATCAGAACTTGTATTGAATGATGGTGTTATATAGGAATGATAACCTGAAAGTTACATAGAAGTTGGCAAATTGTAGAATTCAAAGTGAATCATGTTAGCATTTCTCAACAAGAACAGTAGGAAACTATTTGTTACCTTTTTTTTTTGTTCATCCTGGGGCCTGAACTCTGAGCCTGGGTGTTGTCCCTCAGCTCTTCAGCTCAAGGCAAGTACTCTACCATTTGAGCCACAGTGCCACTTCTAGCTTTTTCTGTTTATGTGTTACAGAGGAATTGAACCCAGGGCCTCATGCATGCAAGGCGAGCACGCTATCACTGGGCCACCTTCCCAGCCTTTGTTATCTATTCTTGCATAATAAAATACTCAGAAATGTACTGGATTAAAATAGCCAATATGTTTTTCTAGAATGACCACTTAGGCTGAGCTCAACTAATATGTTCGCTGGATGCTTCTGAAGGGGGTCATCAGTGTGGGTTATTGGTTGGAGGATCTGGATTATCTTCATCCTGAAGTCTGGGCTTCTTTACAGGATAGTCTATGACAGTGTTCCAAAGAGCAATAGCAGAAGCTCCAAGATGTTTGGGTAGTCTCTGAAACTCACATAGTGTTTCATTTGCCACATTTTCTTTGTCAGAGCTAATCTAGCCTAGATTCAAGGGGTAAGCCTTAATAGGAGGAATTATATAAAATTAATGGTCATATTTCAGTTCACCATGGATACATTCCCTAGAGGGGGGCAAGTTAGGATATCTGTGGGAACTTGAATGTGGAGAGACATAAATTTAGAAAACACATAATCTATGTTACCATTTCTTTATTTGTTTATAATCATAATATTTACTTTGTTTCAATATGTTAAGTAATAAGAGAGTTTTTTTTTCTTTTTTTTCTTTTTTGGGGGGTGGTCCCAGTCGTGGGCCTGAACTTTGGGCCTGGGCACTATCCCTCAGCTCTTCAGCTCAAGGCTGGTGCTCTATCACTTGAGCCACAGTGCTACTTCTGGCTTTTTTTTTCTGCTTACGTGGTGCTGAGGAATCGAACCTACCACTGAGCCACCTTCCCAGCCCATAAGAGAGTTTCTTAAGTGCTTTGTGTTACCAGAAGAATAAGTAGAAGAAAAGTTAAAATAGTAATGTGTTTTTTTTCTTTTTGTTTGTTTTATTTTTTTTGGTGGTCATGGGGCTTGAACTCTGGGCCTGGGCGTTGCCCTTCAGTTCTTCAGCTCAAGGCTAGCTAGCACTCTGATCACTTGAGTCACAGCACCACTTCCAGTTTTCTGGTAGTTAATTGGAGATAAGTGTCTCACAGACTTTCCTACTGGGCTGGTTTTGAACTGCAATCCTCAGATCTCAGCCTCCTGAGTAGCTAGGACTACAGGGGGGAGCCACCAGCACCCAGCAGTAATCTTTTCTTTCTTTCTTTTTTTTTTGGGGGGGGCCCAGTTGTGGGGCCTGAACTCCTGGGCCTCGGTGCTGTCCCTCAGCTCTTCAGCTCAAGGCTAGCACTCTACCACTTGAGCCACAGCGCCATTTCTGGCTTTTTTCTTTTTGCTTATGTGGTGCTGAGGAATTGAACCCAGGGCCTCATGCATGCAAGGCAAGTGCTCTACCACTGAGCCACCTTCCCAGCCCCTAGCAGTAATCTTTTCTAATGTGACAGTTTCATAGATAAATAAAACTAAAGATTATATATTTGGTGGAAACCCTGAGAAGGCCTTTTCAAGTTTTGAGTTTTATCTTCTGTTTTCTCTGTTTCTAGGAGCACAAAGTGTTACTCACGGGAACACCATTGCAAAATACTGTGGAGGAATTGTTTAGCTTGCTTCATTTCTTGGAACCTTCACAGTTTCCTTCAGAATCAGAATTCCTCAAGGATTTTGGGGATCTTAAGACAGAGGAACAGGTAGGAAATGTGGCCAATGAGGTACTAACACACAACCAAAAAAGTTGTTATCGCAGACAAGAGCTTTTCTTAACTCCTACCTATATCATCAGTGGAAATATCCAAAATTTATTCCCTTGAGTAGAAAACTGCAATTTTACCATATTTACTTATAATGTGAGAATGCTTACCATATTATTGATTTATTTATTTTTTCTGTAAATCATAGGTTCAAAAACTACAGGCCATTCTCAAGCCAATGATGCTGAGAAGACTTAAAGAGGATGTTGAAAAAAACTTGGCTCCTAAACAGGAAACTATTATTGAAGTAGAGCTAACTAACATCCAGAAGAAATACTATCGGGCTATTTTGGAAAAGAATTTCTCCTTCCTTTCCAAAGGAGCCGGTCATACTAACATGCCTAATCTACTCAACACAATGATGGAGCTGCGCAAGTGCTGTAACCACCCATATCTCATCAATGGTGAGGAAATTACTATGTTTGCTTTCTTAATGACACTCCTCAGGAAGAATGGGTGCAGACTTAATCCAAGAGGTTAAGGATGAAGGGTACAAAAGGGTTGCTTTTTTGGTTTTTTGTTGATTGTGGGGCTTGAACTCAGGGACTAGATGCTGTCCCTGAGCCTCTTTGTGTTCAAGGCTCAGTGCTCTACCACTTGTGCCACTTCTGGTTTTTGAGGGATTAATTGGAGATAAGAGTCTAATGGGTACTTTTCTGCCTGGGCTAGCATCTAACCATGACTCAGATCTCAGCCTCCTGAGTAGCTAGGATTAAAGGTGTGAGCCACTGGAACCCAGCCTGATTTTTAAAATACAACTTTTTTTTGGTCATGGGCTTGAACTCTGGGCCTAGGTGCTGTCCCTGAGCTCTTCAGCTCAAGGCTAATGTTCTATCACTTGAGCCACAGTGCCACTTCAGTTTTCTGGTGGTAAATTGGAGATAAGAGTCTCATGGACTTTCCTGTCCAGGCTGACTTTGAACCTTGAACCTCAGATCTCAGCTTTCTGAGTAGTTAGTATTACAGGTGTGAGCTACTGGCACCTGGCCTAAAATATAATTTTATTGTGCAGCTTTGTTGTTCAGTTTCTTTCTTTCTTTCTTTCTTTCTTTCTTTCTTTCTTTCTTCCTTTCTTTCTTTCTTTCTTTCTTTCTTTCTTTCTTTCTTTCTTTCTTTCTTTCTTTCTTTCTTTTTTTGTCATTCATGGGGCTTGAACTCTGGGCTTAGGCAGTATCCCTGCGCTCTTCAGCTCAAGGCGAGTGCTCTATCACTTGAGATACAGCACCACTTCTGGTTTTATAGTGCTTTATTGGAGATAAGAGTCTCACACAGTTTCCTGTCCAGGCTGGCTTTGAACCGTACTAACTCAACTAATCCATCAAATCAAATAAGGCTTAAATGTTTTCACTGAATATCAACATCAAGTTTGATTTTTCTTTTGGCAGGTGCAGAAGAAAAAATCCTAACAGAGTTTCGGGAAGCTTGCCACATTATACCTCATGACTTTCACCTGCAGGCCATGGTTCGCTCTGCTGGCAAATTGGTTCTTATTGACAAGTTACTTCCAAAGCTTAAAGCTGGTGGCCATAAAGTTCTAATCTTTTCCCAGATGGTACGCTGTCTAGATATCCTAGAAGACTATCTAATCCAGAGGAGGTGAGAAATGGGTTGTCTAGTATCTTCATAAGGTTACAATGTAAGCTCAATGGTTGATGCTTATCTAAGGCCTTGGGTTTGATGACCAGAACAAGAAAAAAAATGTACTTTCAAAGTCTGATTTTTAGAGTTGACTAGTTATAGTAAAGAAGTATTCAAGGCTTTCACTCTCATCTTTGGTGGCTCTTCTCTAGCTATAGATATGGGGTTGTGGCATTGTTCTTCTGCTTTGTTTTCTTCTGCTGCTTAGCTATTTTTTTTCTCCCATGACTTTCCTGCATACAGGTACTTGTATGAACGCATAGATGGTCGAGTTAGAGGAAACCTTCGACAGGCTGCTATTGATCGCTTTAGTAAGCCTGACTCTGACCGCTTTGTCTTCTTGCTGTGTACCCGAGCTGGTGGACTTGGAATTAACCTTACAGCTGCTGATACCTGCATCATCTTTGATTCAGATTGGAATCCACAAAATGACTTGCAGGTAATGGAAATTATTTTTATAGTAACTAACTTAGCTGAGGAGAGTTTTATTTTATTATTATTATTATTGTTATTATTTTGGTCAGTCATGGGGCTTGAACTCTGGGCTTGGGTGCTGTTCCTGCGCTCTTCAGCTCAAGTCGAGCACTGGACCGCTTGAGCTACAGCACCACTTACGGTTTTTTAGTGGTTTATTGGAGATAAGAGTCTCAGGGACTTTCCCGTGATCCTCAGATCTCAGCCTCCCGAGTAGCTAGGATTACAGGCTTTATTTTATTTTATTAAACAAAAAGAAACAAAAATAAAACCCAACAAAATCAGGATCTCTTAGCTCTGTCTTTCAGAGAGTATGTAATTGTTTATTTACTTAGAAGTAGAAGTTATTTAGTGATCAGGTTTTTGTAAAGAACCTAATAGTAAATGTTAAAGACTGTGGGCTCTATGATCTCTGTTGCAATTCCTTGTATCTGCTCCCATAGCTTTTGTGTTATGCAAATGAATAGGTATTACTATGTGGGAATAAAACTTTATATGAGCAGATTATAGTTGGCTGACCCTATAGTTGGCAATAATTTCATTTTGAAGTAGATTTGGTTTTGAGTTGTTCTCATAGCTGTTTATAAATGTTAAAGAACTGTGCATTGATATTATGTGTCCTTCATTCTTCTCTAATTTTATGTTTTTTTTTAAATTTTATTTTTTATTAAAAACAAAAATCAACCAGGCCCAGGCACGGTGTCATCGAATTGGACAGAGCAAAGCTGTGAAGGTGTACCGACTCATCACTCGTAATTCCTATGAGAGAGAAATGTTTGATAAGGCTAGCCTCAAGTTGGGATTGGATAAGGCTGTGCTTCAGTCCATGAGTGGTCGGGATGGCAACATCACTGGTGTAAGTCATAATTAATGGATAAGTTTGTAGTGGCTCATCCACAGGTAAAGAAAAGACTTTTTGTATAGGAAAATTTTTGTCTTAATTCTCAAGCTTTTTTTCTTTTCTTTTTTGGTTGATCAGTCATAGGTCTTGAACTCTGGGCCTGGTGCTGTCCCTTAGCTCTTCAGCACAAGGGTAGTATTCTACCACTTGAGCCATAGTGCCACTTTTGGTTTTCTGGTGGTTTATTGGAGATAAAAGTCTCACAGACTTTCCTGCTCAGGCTGGCTTTGAACCATGATCCTCAGATCTCAGCATCCTGAGTAGCTAGGATTACAGGCGTGAGCAACCAGCTCCCGGCTTACTTCTCAAGTTTTAGAAATGTTTTTGTACAGAGATTCTAATTCAGGGCTTCTTGCTTGCTAGGTAGGCACTCTTACTACCTAAGCCACTGTAGCAGCTCTTTTTTTTTTTTACAGTGGTTATTTTCAAAATAGAACCTCGCTTTATGCTGAGGCTGGCCTGAACTATTTCTATTTGTGCTTCTACATGTCACTTGGATAACGTGTATGCCACCACATCTAGCCATTTGGCTTTCCTTGTAGGTTGCTTAGACATTGGTTGAGTTGGAGTCTTGAAACCTTTTTTTTTTTTTCGCTCTTGTTAGCCTCATTATCTCCACCTCCCATGTAGCTATTATTGGGAGCATGAGTCACTGTGCCTGGCCTGAATTCACAAGTATTTCATTTTTGTTCATGTTTTATTTATTCATAACTGACAAATAATAATTGTAATACATTAAGAGAGCTTTTTTATTTTTATGGTTCTGGAGATCAAACCCAGTGTCATGGACCTGAGAAGGTCCTAGTGTTCTACCACTGAACCTTGACTAATAGTGATTTTATTAATATTTCTTACAATGAAATATTAAGGCATGGCTAGATAATATTTTATTGGTAGTCTTTCCATTTCTCTTGCAGATCCAGCAGTTCTCCAAAAAAGAGATTGAAGATCTCTTAAGAAAAGGGGCTTATGCAGCCATAATGGAGGAAGATGATGAGGGCTCCAAGTTTTGTGAAGAGGACATAGACCAGATCTTGTTAAGACGAACTACAACCATCACTATTGAATCTGAAGGAAAAGGCTCTACCTTTGCCAAGGCATGTTCAGATAAGTCTGTAACGTATACTAGCAAATCAGATAGAAATAAATTTAAATACATTTTCTCAAATGTAGTTGCTGATTTCCTGTTATTCAAAAATGGTACTAAAACTAACTATACTCTGCATTTGTTTCTTACTAGGCAAGCTTTGTTGCTTCTGAAAATAGAACAGATATTTCTCTAGATGATCCCAATTTTTGGCAAAAATGGGCCAAAAAGGCTGACCTAGACATGGACCTGCTTAATAGCAAGGTGAGCTTATTCTTCCTGTAGGGAGGAAGTAGATGCACTACTTTGAATTTTCATAACTGCTCTGGTTCTTTGGTGCAAATTGCAGTTTATCAGGGTACATTTAAGATAAGGACTGTTGTAACAACTTTCTACCTAAGAGGCCCTGGAAAAATACTTAGATACCAGCCTCTTTTGCTTCCTGAATACTTGTAGCTTATTTTACATGACCTTAAAACAAAAAGAAAGCTTAATATTTTCATTCGTATTTCAAGATATAATTGTCTTAAGTCTTTTGTCATGTGCATATTATATTTTTCTGTTCTCTGCGCAGAATAATTTGGTGATTGACACACCTAGAGTACGGAAACAGACCCGCCACTTCAGCACTCTGAAAGATGATGACTTGGTTGAATTCTCTGATTTAGAAAGTGAGGATGATGAGAGGCCACGCTCCCGAAGACATGATCGTCATCATGCTTATGGGCGCACAGACTGCTTTCGGGTGGAAAAGCATCTCCTAGTATATGGGTAAGAAACTGTGTTGCCTTGAAAAGTAGTATATCTCCCTCCTGAATGATAACTTGTTGCCATTCATGTTGCCAGCTATGACCAAGCTGATCATGTGGAAAATTTTTCCTTTGAGGGAGTTCATAGTACTTGTTATAATCCTTTCCAGTATTTTGTTTCCCACTTTTCGGGAGATAGAGTTCTGGGAGTCAGGGGATATCTTTGCTATTTTGTTAGTTGGGGACGATGGCGAGATATTTTATCCCATGGACGTTTTAAGCGGCGGATGACTGAACGAGATGTGGAGACAATATGTCGTGCCATCCTTGTATATTGCTTGCTACACTACCGTGGAGATGAAAATATCAAAGGCTTCATTTGGGATTTGATTAGCCCTGCTGAAAATGGCAAGACAAAAGAATTGCAGAATCATTCAGGTAATTCCCAACTCCTTACTTTTCATACTTTTTTAGGTTATCTAGCCCTTTTCAGGTCTAAGGGTTTTTCTCAATCCAAGTCTTTGATGTCTCCCCTCTTCCAGGTCTGTCAATCCCTGTGCCCCGTGGACGCAAGGGCAAAAAAGTTAAGTCACAAAGTACTTTTGACATCCATAAGGCAGATTGGATCCGGAAATATAATCCTGATACTCTTTTCCAAGATGAGAGTTATAAGAAGCATTTGAAACATCAATGTAACAAGTAAGGATGGAATTTAGCAAAGATATTTCTCATTTAAGACTTTACACTACTGCTAAGCTGATTCTTCCCCCATCCATTCTAGGGTACTGTTGAGAGTACGAATGCTGTATTACCTAAGGCAAGAGGTTATTGGAGACCAGGCAGAGAAGGTATTAGGTGGTGCCATTGCCAGGTAATGTTCTTCTATATAGTTTTTTATTCCCTGTCTTTTACTAGGAATGATTGTTTTCTTGTTTTTGTTCTTGTTTTTCTTCTAATGTCTTTGGGATGTATGGATTTTTGTTTTTGGTTTTCTTTTGGTTTCAGTCCTGGGCTTGAACTGTAGACCTGTGTTGTCTCTAAGCTTTCTTTGCTCAGGGCTAGCATTCTACAATTTAAGCAACAGTTCTACTTTTAGCTTTTTGGTAGTTAATTGTAGATAAGAGTCTCAGATTTTTCTTCCTAGGCTGGCTTTGATTTGTAGTCCTCAGAGCTCAGCCTTAAAAATAGCTAGGATTATAGGTATGAGCCCCCTGTGCCCAGCAGTATACATTAGGTTTAATCCTGTACTTGACGCAAATACAAGGAAATAGAGTAGATACACAAGCACTCAAACTAATGGATAGAGCAAGATACCTCAAATAATCTTTCTAAACTTTCCATTTTTATTTCCAACATTGCTTTGCTGACTATATCTTATACCTTCAGTGAGATTGACATATGGTTCCCAGTTGTGGATCAGCTGGAAGTTCCAACAACCTGGTGGGACAGTGAGGCTGATAAGTCTCTTCTCATTGGAGTCTTCAAGCATGGTAGGTACTGTCTTCTAGCATATTATTTTCTTTTTTTTTTTTTTTGTCGGTCATGGGGCTTGAACTCTGGGTCTGGGCACTGTCCCTCAGCTCTTCAGCTCAAGGCTAGCGCCACAGCGTCACTTCCGGCTTTTTTCTTTTTGCTTATGTGGTGCTGAGGAATCGAACCCAGGGCCTCAGGCATGCAAGGCAAGTGCTCTACCACTGAGCCACCTTCCCAGCCCCCTCTATATACTGTTTTAAAGCACACACATGGCCATAAGATTCCATTATACATGAAAGTTAGTGGTCCCAAATGTCTTATTAATATTCATATTGCTTTTTTGTAGTTACCATAGCTGAGAGAATAATTTGTTCCCTTAAAACTGCTAACTGTGGTAGAGTCTCAGGTACTTTTAGCTCTGGTTTATCATCTCCCAAAGGTGCTGACACATTAAAGTATTTTTTCTGGGGATAGAAGCATGATTCACCTAGCATGCAAGGCCCTGAGTTTTAGAAAAACAAAAAACCTAACTCAGTCTTGGAAAAACAAAAATCCTGTCTGGGTACATGTCCCGATGATGAATTGCCATGCTAATACTGAGCCACCATGTAGGGCATTCTTGCCCTAGTTTGGGTGTCAGTGAGTTTAACAATACTTCTAACATGGAGATCTGAGGGACAAATAATTGGCTTAGTTAAGGGATACCTCCAACCTCCTGTGTAACCAAAAGCTTTCTCTTTGATGATTATAACTTCAGTTTGCTTTGGTATAGAACCCTCAAAAGAACTTAGATCATTTGTTTTTTGCCAATCATTTATTATGTTATGTTTATGTTTAATAGTACAAGGTAGTAAAAACATTAAAAAGCCCAAATCCTGTGGCTCAAGTGGTAGAGTGCTAGCCTTAAGCACAAAGAGCATCAAGGATAGTGCGCAGGCCGAGTTCAAGCCCCACTACCAACAAAAACAAAAAAAGCATGAATCATTGAGATGAGGCTGAGGCAGGAGGATTATTTGAGTCTATGAATTTGAGAGCAGTCTAGGACAATAGTTTAGCAATACCTGTCTCAGCAGGGGTGTGGGAGAGATGGCTAAGCATTGTGTCTCACATCTATAATGCCAGCTATTTAGGGGATGGAGGTAGGGAGGTATACAGTTCTAAGCTATCCCTGGCAAAAGTTAGCAAGACTTCATTCCCATTCAATAGATGAGCATGGTGGCTCATGTCTATAATCCAAACTGTGCCCAAGGCCATCAATAGGAGGATCCTGGTCCAAGACAGGCCATGGGCAAAAAATGTGAGACCTTATTAAAAGCATAACAAAATCTGAAGGCATTTATCAAGTGCAGGAACAAGTTCCTGCATTCTAATCCTAGTACTGCAAATAATTTTATATTGAAGCAATTATGAATGGTAATTCACTGATTTCTTCAAATTGTTTACTGGCTAGATGATATTCTCAGTTGATCCAGACTTTTTTGTTCTTTTTTCAGTACCAGTCCTGGAGCTTGAACTCAGGGACTGGCCACTGTCCCTGAGCTTATGCTTTTTTGCTCAAGGTTAGCACTCTACCACTTGAGCCACAGCTCTGCTTCCAGCTTTTTGGAGGTTAATTGGAGATAAGAGTCTCACAGACTTTCCTATCTGGTCTGGCTTTGAACCATGATCCTTAGATCTGAGCCTCTTGAGTTGCTAGAATTATGGGCATGAACCCGGCACCCAACTGGTCTGAACTTTTTTAACAGTTGACCTGTGCTCCTGAAAGCATGAAATTAAAGATTTATGTGCTGGATTATATGTTTGCTCAGTTCTTCCTCCAAGGTTTCTTTTTTTTTTTTGGGTCCGGTTGTGGGCCTGAACTCTGGGCCTGGGCATTGTCCCTCAGCTCTTCAGCTCAAGGCTAGCGCCACAGCGCCACTTCTGGCTTTTTTCTTTTTGCTTATGTGGTGCTGAGGAATCGAACCCAGGGCCTCATGCATGCAAGGCAAGAGCTCTACCACTGAGCCACCTTCCCAGCCCCCTCCTAGGTTTCTTAATGACAGAAAATTTTCTTTTGCTTCTGCATATTTTTAGGGTTGACTTTGATAAGGACTGTGAAGATCCTGAATATAAACCACTCCAAGGGCCCCCAAAAGATCAAGATGATGAGGTAAGTTTTCACTTGAGTCCAGCTTTTCTCTAAGTAGTCATTTTTCCTCTCAATCTGTAAACCTTGAAGTATATTAATTTATAATACAAAGTAGAAAACAAATATCATGTGAGAATATAAAGTTTTAATGGCAAGGCTTTTAGTACCAGCTGGGGGAGATTAAGTGGGACCCAAGCTGGATAATAAATGATATTACAATTTGACTAAAAGTTCCTAAAACCCATTATCTTACATTATTATTAGGAACTCATTTTCTAGATTTTACTTTCTCTTCTTCATTCCCTTGGTGCCATAGGGTACCCAGAAGAAGGTGATTTTAGAGTATCTACTTCCCTCTTCACTCTTTCCTCCATCCTGTGGGGTGGATCTGCTTTTCTAGGGTGATCCCTTGATGATGATGGATGAGGAGATCTCAGTGATTGATGGAGATGAAGGTACATCCTAGGTCAATATTGTGTGGTTGGGAGGGAATTGGGAAATTACTGGCTGAATTCTATCATATTATAAGGTTTCCAAATATTTGCCTTGCATCGTATTCATTCTTTGTTTCCCACAGCCCAGGTGACTCAACAACCAGGGCATCTATTCTGGCCTCCAGGATCTGCCTTAACAGCTCGGCTTCGCCGCCTAGTAACAGCCTATCAGCGCAGCTACAAGAAAGAACAAATGAAGATAGAGGCTGCAGAACGTGGGGACCGACGGCGACGGCGTTGTGAAGCAGCCTTCAAGTTAAAAGAAATTGCACGGCGGGAAAAACAACAACGGTAAAATGTAGCAGACATATTCAGTTTTTCTTCAACTATTGGCTCCATACTGTAAAGCATCATAGGAAGGATTTATTTGGAAATTACTACATACAGTTCATCTTTCCTACCTTAAATTATTATACTTCCAGTCTCTAGGAGCTAAGAATCTCATTTGTAGAGTAGGGATATAGCTCAGCTGAAGACTTCACTTGCACATACAGTCACAGGTTTGATCTCTAGCTTCACCAGCCCCTTGCCTCTTCTCCACCCCCCCACAAATAGTTTTTTAACAATTACATCTCTGGGGAAGTCTCCTGTGTACACAGTCTCATTGCGTTATTTACTTAAATCATTTTCCTCCTTTACTTGCTAGTTGCCTCTTCTGTTTTTTTGTTGTCTTCACATTCAGTTTTTGTCTTCTAAACCATCCCAAGAAATACCCAGTTTTCCTATGTATTCCTGATCTCTGTTGCTTTACTTGTTCCTTTGTAGATGGACTAGGCGTGAACAAACTGACTTCTATCGAGTAGTGTCTACCTTTGGTGTGGAATATGACCCTGACAACATGCAGTTCCATTGGGATCGGTTCCGTACTTTTGCTCGACTAGATAAAAAGACAGATGAAAGCCTAACCAAGTATTTCCATGGATTTGTAGCCATGTGCCGACAAGTGTGCCGCCTTCCTCCAGCAGCTGGAGATGGTGAGATTAGAGGGTCTAAGAGGAGCGGGAGTGGACAGTGACAGACCAACTCATGGTTCATTTCTCTGTTCACTTCTGTCTTTTACAGAACCCCCAGACCCTAACCTGTTCATTGAGCCCATCACTGAGGAAAGGGCCTCAAGGACTCTCTACCGCATTGAATTGCTTCGGCGTTTACGGGAACAAGTTTTATGCCACCCACTTTTGGAAGATAGGCTGGCATTATGTCAGCCTCCAGGTCCAGAATTGCCCAAATGGTGGGAGCCTGCTCGTCATGATGGGGAGCTTCTACGAGGGGCAGCTCGCCATGGGGTGAGCCAAACAGACTGTAACATCATGCAGGACCCAGACTTCTCTTTTCTGGCTGCTCGTATGAATTATATGCAGAACCATCAGGCAGGAGCACCAGCTACATCCTTATCTCGCTGCTCCACTCCACTGCTACACCAGCAGTATACCTCGCGCACTGCCTCACCATTGCCCCTGCGCCCAGATGCTCCTGTTGAAAAGTCACCTGAGGAGACAGCTGTCCAAGTCCCCAATTTGGAGAGTCTGACTTTAAAGCTAGAGCATGAGGTGGTGGCCAGGAGCCGACCAACCCCTCAAGACTATGAAATGCGTGTAGCCCCCTCTGATCCTACCCCTCTGGTGTCCCGGAGTGTTCCACCAGTCAAACTGGAAGATGAGGATGATTCAGACTCTGAGCTGGACTTGAGCAAGCTGTCACCATCATCCTCTTCTTCCTCATCCTCATCCAGCTCCAGCTCCAGCACTGATGAGAGTGAGGACGAGAAAGAAGAGAAGTTAAGTGAGTGCATGTGACAGGCTACTGGCCCTCTTCCCTGTTTTGCCCTTTCTGCTCTTCCCTTCTTATCTAAATGCAACTTCTTCTGAAAAATTTGGATTTTATTTGATAAAATACCAGATGAGATCTGTAACCTTTGGACCTTTATTCAAAGCCTGTATGATAGATACCATTCCCATTTAACATTATTCTATCATCTTTGTTCACAAATTCTTTGTGATCTCTAGCTGCTGACCGATCCTGCCCAAAGTTCTATGATGAAGAAAGTCTATTGTCCCTCACTATGTCTCAAGATGGATTCCCAAATGAAGATGGAGAACAAATGACTCCTGAACTGCTGCTACTGCAGGAAAGACAAAGAGCCTCTGAATGGCCCAAGGTAACATTCTTAGACAGGGAGAATTCAGAAACAAAGTTGTTGGGTTTTTTTTTGGGGGGGGGGTCGGTCATGTGCCTTGAACTGTGGGCCTGAACATTGTCTCTCAGCTCTTCAGCTCAAGGAAAGCGCTCTACCACTTGAGCTACAGCACTTCTTCCAGTTTTCTGGTGGTGTATTGGAGATAAGAGTTTCACTGACTTTCCTGCCTGGGCTGGCTTTGAACTGTGACCCTCAGATCTCAGCCTCCTGAGTAGCTAGGATTACAGGCATGTGCCACCGGCGCCTGGCAGAAACAAAGTTTTAACGGTATATGCAGGGGAAAAGAAACAGATGGTTCTAGGCTTTTTTTTTTTTTTTGTCTTTTACTGATTATATGTTTTTCTTTTTCATAAAGCTCTCTTTTATTGTTTTTAATCTGTTAATGCTAAACTATTGCATGTCTGAGGAGCACATAGCTAGTGCTCAGATCCTTACAGTGGAATACCACATACACACACACACACACACACACACACACAGTTTCTTTGTTTGTTTTCCAGGATCGTGTCCTGATAAACCGAATTGACCTCGTCTGTCAGGCTGTACTCTCAGGGAAATGGCCTTCTAGCCGAAAGACCCAGGAAATGATAACAGGAGGAATTTTGGGGCCTGGCAACCATTTAATAGACAGCCCCTCTTTGACCCCAGGAGAATATGGTGACTCTCCAGTTCCTACACCACGAAGCAGCAGTGCAGCTTCCATGGCAGAGGAGGAGGCTTCTGCAGTCACCACAGCAGCAGCCCAGTTTACCAAACTGCGCAGAGGCATGGATGAGAAGGAGTTTACAGTTCAGATCAAAGATGTAAGCGCAGTATGCAGGCCCTGGGACGTGGATAAGGAGACTGTAGTTCTTCCCTGCCCCACTCCCCCCCCAGTGTACAGTGCCATATTTATTTTGTAGTTAATGCATAGTAATTTTAAAATTCTATACAGATGCAATACATTCTTTGCAACAGTTAATCTGTCTCCAGATAAAGAACTGACTATATTTTCATTCAGTGATACTGGGTATTTTGATCATCTCTCTTTTTAATTATTTTGTCAAGATGATGTATGAGACTATAGTTCTTGTTAACTAGTTTCACAGGTAGTATACTTATACATATTGTGTTAACTGTTTATTTCCAGTACTAGAGTTTGAATCTGCGGCCTCTTGCTAGGCTAGTGGTCTACCATTTGAACCATACCCCACCCTGGTTAGCTAACTTTAGAGAAGAAGAAAAAAAAAGAGCTCAGAGAGATTTATTTATTTATTTATTTTTTTGGTCCGGTCTTGGGGCCTGAACTCTGGGGCCTGGGCGCTGTCCCTCAGCTCTTCAGCTCAAGGCTAGTGCTCTACCACTTGAGCCACAGCGCCACTTCCGGCTTTTTTTCTTTTTGCTTATG